ATATGTATATATATATTACGATGAATATGTGTGCACTCCACTTGATTATTTCATAAAAGCCTTTACAGATTTTCTAATATTCTTTTCCACGAGAAAAAAGAAATTCCAATGCTTTTTCAATAGCTTTTCCGTAATTCCTAAATTAAATTTTTATTGAAAATGGCTTAGCGTGTACGATGTTATTGCGGAATAAGCGCGCGCGCGCACCGCGGTTCCATTTCGCGAATTCCGTGTGACAGTATATTCGCCGATCGAACGTGGGAGCATCGCGGCACCGCACAGCCGATTGATTTCGCACAAGTGTTACGGGTCGCCCTGTGTATCCTGACATTTGATGCGTCGTTGTGGCTCACGCATAGTTTCGTAGTAAATACAGAGATGATATGGGTGTCCTATAGTACACAAAGGTCATGATACACACGGTGTCGTTGAAATCACGGAATTAATTGACAAACAATTTATCAGTACATATATTATAAATACGTACACACGTAATACACATACATACGTCATCATACATATTGTATGATCGCAAACTGCAACCGAATTAATTAGAAAGTTACAATCTGTAACAATCTGCATTAAAACAAAAGCGAGAAAGAAAAAATTTTCTTATATTTTGAGATCACGTTTCTTCACTTTTCGAAAAAATATATATATGTATTAGTAAAAAAAAAACAGGGTGTTTCATAATGTCCGTGCCAACGCTCGTGTGCGGGTAGAGTGCGGTAAACTGAATAGAAAAGTCCTTTATCGTTTTGCAATTTTCGCGATAATAATTGAGACATTAATTAAAAAGGATTGACGAATAAACGAAAAATAACAACGCATGGCGAGAGCAGGAGTAATGCGTGTTGTAATTTTTCGTTACCGTGTGATCCACGTTGCTGTCACGCCTAGAGTGTACAGCCCATGGTCTAGCCGTACGCAACGCGTGATTATTCGTCAATCCTTTTTAATTAATGTCTCAATTATTATCGCGAAAATTGCAAAACGATAAAGGACTTTTCTATTCAATTTACCGCACACGAGCGTTGGCGCGGACATTATAAAACACTCTGTCTATACAATAAAAGAATTAAAATATATCGAGAATATTTTAAAACAAAACTTAATAAGACATTTCTATATTTAAATTATAAATAAAGTGTCAGTAAATAAAATAAAAATGCATTGTAAGACTTTAAAGTGAGATAGTATAAATTTGGCTTCGTACATGATATATCTGCTATGAACTAAAAATATCGTTAGTATAAATAATAAATTTATAAATTAGAGATACATAGATAAATAGATAGCGAAAAAAATAAAAGGAAAAAAGGGAACAAAATGTGAGAATATGTAGGTTTTAGTCAATTAGGATTCCAAATTCAATTTCTATTGTAATGACAACCTAACTTATTAATATGCATTAGTATGAATTATTATGGGAGTTTTTACATCCAGCTGCGAAATTAACATGCTACATGTTAATCATAAAGTGTTTCAGACGCTTCTTACTATGTACATATGATTATGTGTATTTATATTTTGCATTTATCGAATATTGCAACTCACGTTATATTTACCTCACATTCATAAAAATGTAAGTCCTTATAATAATACATTGAAATTAAATAATACATTTAACATCGGCAATGTATGACATACAGAATGCTCTAGAATTATATTGTGCGTATAAACTTGCGTTTATGATTTAGTTTGCCGATTAATTGGACATTGCTAAATCTTCATCGCGATTACGATGGACACCGTCTAGAAATGCTTTCCTGCATAAAGTTGCCACCAATTTTGCATAATTCAGGATGTGCGCAGTTGTCCAAAATTTATGCAACTTTATGTAGGAAGGCAAAAGTTTTTAAATACTGATGCATATCTAAAACATCAGTTAAATACGTCACGCAATGTATTTAATCGTTAAAATAAAAAAGATATAAAAAGCTTGTTGTAAGAACAAGATAAAAAGTTTAAGCTTTCCAAAGCTTTGTCAGTTCTCTGCATCCTGTTTTCTCGCTGACTGCCCACATATTCGCGATATATTTAACAATCGTTTTATTCAGATAAATTTATCGTAATCAGTGTATTATACAGAATGTTTCATAATGTCCGTGTCAACGCTCGTGTTCGGGTAAAATGCGGTAAACTGAATAGAAAAGTCCTTTACCGTTTTGCAATTTTCACAATAATGATTGAGATATTAATTAAAAAGAATTGACGAATAATCACGCGCTGTGCGCGGTTAGACCATGAACTGTACACTTTAGGCGTGACAGCAACGAAGATCGCACGGCAACGAAAAATTATAACAAAATTATAACACGTATTACTCCTGCTCTCGTCATGCGTTGTTATTTTTTGTTGCGATCTTCGTTGCTGTCACGCCTAGAGTGTACAGCCCATGGTTTAGCCGCGCACAACGCGTGATTATTCGTCAATCCTTTTTTAATTAATATCTGAATTATTATCGCGAAAATTGCAAAACGGTAAAGGACTTTTCTATTCAGTTTACCGCATTTCACCCACACACGAGCGTTGGCACGGACATTATAAAACACCCTGTATATAAAGCGATATAAACGTATATTGTGAAGATATAAGATTAATATAATTATCAGATTGTGCAGAAAGCGAGCAAAGAAACTGTAGGAAATTGTCTGAAAAAACAATTGAAAAAGAATAGAATCCGGCGTCAATTCGCACGAGTCATGTAATGTCGTGCTACTTTACGTAAGTCGGGCGTTATTGATCTAATCTCGAAAATGTATCTGGCGAGATTGTGCCGCCTGTTTCAAACGGCGATGTAACGTACGACTGACAAAATGAAAGAAACTTAATTATGTGTGTACTTTTCGAGTGTGTGTTCGAGAAAGAAAGATCTTAGAACGCAAAAAAGCGATGACGCGGCGACGACGCCCGCAAGTTCGCGCATCGCATCTTTGTACAATGATTTGACAATCGTTTATGTATATATTTGATTTTACAATACAATGTAAAATACTTAAAACTCGTCCAATTGATATCAGAAACTGAACTCACCAAAATAATATCCGTTTAATTCAACGAAGAAGCTGTCCGTCAAAAAGAATTATGCGGCGAGAAGATCGATTTCGCGTAAGCAGGCAGTCGCGAAACTCGCGGTTGAATTCATGACGCACTTCACAAGCGCGCACGCACAATCTCGCGGCGAATAATGACAACACGCGTAAGAATACGAGCGTTTCATCAAAACGAACAAAATTCAAGAAGATATATGCGCAGGTCAATGGACTAGCAGACAAACTGAATGTCAGGAAGTGATGACGTTGTAGGTTATGATACAAAAAAATGACGTACCTGGTATTGTTCTTTTTCTCAAGATCCGCACCGCTCTCGGCATCCGGAGAGGCAGGTTTCTGCTCGGGTTTCTGCTCGGGTGTCTCCTCGCTGCCATTCTCGGGCTTCTTGCCCATCCAGTTGGACATCTGATTGAGACCGGTTGTCAGATTGGAGAACATATTGCGACGTGCGTTTCGACGAGTTCGACTGGAGTCTGCTCCTCTTTCTCACTCCCTCCTTCGACCGTATGACGGTCTCCCACTTGCGTACTAGTCGGAATCGAGCGCGAACGTCACCGAAGCCCTCGCGGGACCGGAGTGACGACGAATACTGGATTATCTCGTCCGTCCTCGCGATAGCGCAGCCACGAACTGTGTAAGACACACGTGTACGCGCGCAACTCGTACGGCGCACCCATCGCGACGCCAACGCTGGATGGCCTTGCACGGTCGACTGGCAAACTAACGGCAACCATCGATTGCCGGCTTTCGGGATATAAATTATGATTATGTAGGTGAGAGAAATGATGACGGGATGATACGCAAGGCAATGATGTATGACGATTTTCCGAATAATGGATATTGATTCTTTAGATGATTGATTTATATTTGCGATCGAAGTACTTACAGAGAGGTGAATCTATCGAGATTTTGCGAAATGAGCTTCATCAATAGACTGGCGATAGAACTGAATCAGTTGTAAGTAATGACGTTAGCAAATTTTTGACAAAAATCTAACAAGGTCTGCCAATATAATGGTGCAAATTAGTAATAGAAATTGAATTGTTGTTTCGAAACTATTATATATTTTTTTTATGGATAATGTATAATCTTTAATATTGAAAAATATATACAATTGAATATTCTTATTACTGCTTATCGCTGATCTTATTACTGCTTATCAATGATCGAGGCAACCTAAATTTTATATTAAAAAAGTTAACTTTAATAGTAAATCTTGGAAAATTGAAATCTTTATCACATCTTTCTAATATCCATGACGTGATCAACATTAATAAAAATATATCGATAGAAAGGCGGAATATCTATTAATTATATGAAATTTTCAGATCGGTGATATGAAATACCTTAATGCTTGTAAAACATGAACAGATGTTGACGCGCATTATTCCCATTATTAAAGTGCGATATCGAGTGCGCTACTTTTCCGCACTTTGAAAGCCTGCATGTAATAACTGAGAAGGTAAACATCGCTTAATGCCTAATAACTTACCGTTGATTGCAATACTTGTATAGTCGAATGTTGAACATTTTACATGATGGATACTGTGTCGCGCTGAGCTCAGCTTCGATAAACGATTGACAATGCAATCATATTAAAAATCATTATAGTTTATTTCAACAAATCAGAGCGAGGTAGTTACAACAATATTGAATAAGGTATACACATTTGTACATTTGTCCTCTTCTCCGAAATGTCGCGTAGCGTCGATATGTCGTGCGGAAGCACCGTGAATATCGTTACAATTCGAGGTAGAATGTACGTGGCGCATGACGAAAACGTATATACATTTACAATCGATGAATTGATAACGCGCAACGATACGATGTGGTCGAATTTGCGGTATCAGTTATTCCTGATCGCTCTTTCAACATAACACTCCATTTGTCCCGTGCCTAGTTATTTAATCTATTCGTAACATATATTGATTCACCAACTGACTAACGTTACGACAAAGTACCATCTGTCATACATATCACAGTTTGGCACCAAGAACTTCGATTGACGATTACGTAAAACTCGTGACGTTCTTCCTGACTCATCCTACACAGCACAAATATAACGATATCGCAAAGACCTTTAAAAGACGTTTATTAGATCTTAATCAGTCGTTCTCTTAGAATGATCTTTTTATGTTATCTGGGATAACAATTTATTTCATTCAGAAATATGTGTTAATGTGTCTATAATGCTCGATGCTGCCGCGAGACCGAACGCAATTGCACTATTTATCCCAAGTTAATATAACTTAACATCATTATCATTATGCATCACTTATCTATTGTTTCATGCATCACTTATCTATCGTTTCCTCGTTCGGAGGATTAAGATACATTGGTCAGATACCTGTCACGTTATTCGTCTCGACGTGCTAAATGGTAACGTGAAATAGTGAAGAATTAAATAATTTTATTTTTGTCTCCTAGGAATGTGTATCTATAGTTATCGTCAGTGAGCTGCGTCTGATGAAGTTGCCTGTGCCATTTTCAGAGCTGATTGTTGCTGTTGATACCTGAAGCAAAAATTAATTCAATGAAATTAGAGCAATGAAGAAGAATAGTAAGTATGTGAGACGTCTCATGCCTTGTGACATTAAGCGATATAAATAATGCAAGACGCGCGCGAGCATAAGGAAAACTTGGCAGACTCGTTTGCGTAACTAATTTTTTTGGCAGCGTTAAAAATTCTGCAGAAACGCGTATAAAAATATAATGAATATTTCTTTCTATTTCAAACAATAAAAAACAGAAGTATGATAAAAACGGCGTTCAGAAATTTCATCACGTTTCAAAACAAAAATATTTGAGTGTGAATTTATTGAACTGAACTTGTCAAAGGCGTGATTTAAGAATTATGTTGAAATAGTCACCTCACGGCTCTTGATATTTGATATAGTGCCGTACACGCGACGAAAAGATTCACGCTAAAGAGGCTATAATTTTTCGGAGTGATAGCTAGGGAATATCTGGTCCAGATCAACCCAGTGATACCTAAGGCAGAAGATTGACTGATGGAGATTTTGTTTGCTGGCCTCTGCAGATCACTGAGTCCGGCAATTACAAGCCCCTAAAAATTGCAAAAATAATTCATATATTTTTCTTTCGTCAAACTTATTATATAGTTTTTAAAAGTTATATAATTTAAATATTATAACGTAGCATATTTGCTTTAAGCTATTTTTATCGCAAAATTATCGTATAAATATAAATAGTAAAACGACAATTGAATAAATTTGTTTGCAGCATTTATATCCCACAGATTTTATATTTTTATTTTATGTACATGCAATATATTTGTTATTAAAACATTTCAGATAAGGTAGAATATTTAATTAAACGTAAAAGTAAAAAATAAAAACAGATATGCATATTTTTGCGAAATTGTTATAAAATTATGAAACTATAATAAATCGATATATGTAGCGAATGCATTTGGCATCTTTCTATAACAAGTTTATTTGCCAGCATACATTACGCAGTAGCTGCCTTGAAGCAAAATTGGTTTATCCATTGCTTCAATATACATATGCAGACACACGGTTATTCAATCATATGCTCTGTCACGGTTTTACAAAGTATGAACCAGATAAATAAAAATAAGTCATATTTCAAAAATAAAAAAAAATTATTTTAAGTGTTAAAAAAATTTATTACAAAAATAAAAAATCTATGTTAAAGTTGTTTATAATGATTTTTTTAATTTTTATTCACTGCTTAATTAATTTATCAAAAATGTGAGATTGACAATACTGAAAAAATAGAAAGTAATTACTAACCCATTTGAATATCGGTGCCCAGAAGAATATAGTCTGTGGACCTAAAAAAAAAAAAAAGACAAAAAGTCAAGGTAAATTACAGAGCAGCGTATGACATAACGTGTAATCTGTAATGCATTAGCAAACTTGTTTTTCTCATACAATTTTGTAAAGATGATTAACGTTTCGTGCACGCAGTAATTAACTCAAGATGCAAAAAAAAAATACAAAAGATGTTCATGTATAATACCCAAATACAAAGTTCTACCGCGAACAATATGGTAATCAATGCGCCAGCACGAATATTGATATATGCACGCTATGTCGCGTATGCCCTTGTACTTGTCCGATTCCATTCTCTCTCTCTCTCTCTCTCTCTCTCTCTCTCTCTCTCTCTCTCTCTCTCTCTCTCTCTCTCTCTCTCTCTCTCTCTCTCTCTCTCTCTCTCTCTCCCTCTCTCTCTCTTACTCTATCTATTCAAGCTTCCGCTCTACCAGCTCAAGTTCGTTAGAGCAACTTTGGCATAGACACTGCGTGGCCTTGTTTCCATTCATGTTATAATTCGGTGAAGGCGCGCCCGCACCAGCGCCAGCTTAGGCACCAGCGCCAGCTTAGGCACCAGCTGCGCGAAAAAGCACATTGCAGAAAATAGGACAACCCGGTGTGTATCAAGTTAGTCCGTAAATTTTCGCGTAAACATAATTTTTTTAAAAATCAAATATTGTATTTTTCATTATCAACAATCTGTTTTCCTAAGAAAATTTTTCCACGTATCTTGAGAAATGATTCTGATAAATACGCAAATATGTAATAAATATGCATATGAATTTATAAACTGACTTTGTATGTAAGTCGCAAAGTTTACGTATACGCACGATCAACGAATGAAAAATGCGACTCTTAATCATGAGGAAAGATAATTAGCGGTATGGAAATTAAAGCAAATAATATGATGTATAGTAATTCGAAATATAAATACGTCGGATTAATTTAAGAAGGCGACCTTGCACGAAATGCATCGTAAAATATTTGCCTTTCGCATACCGCATTCGGCGCGTTGCCAAGTCTTACAATTGACGATAACACTTTGCGGGAAAAATGTTTGCGTCACTGCTTGATAAGAGAGTGTCGCGAGATAAATGTAATAAAAAATTACATATATATGCGTTATACCAGTTTGTTCTTGTTACAGCTAAGTTTGTGAAAAAAAACTCGCGATTTAAGACAAATTGTTAATTCAAAATCGAGTACTTGTTAAAAAATAATAATTGTTTGAAGACAAAATAATGATAAAACCAATGATTCAAATCGGGGAGATTTAAATATCTCGAATAAGGAAAGTTTACGAAAGTAAGTTAAAAAATAGACTTTCAATTGATTTAGGAGTCAAAAAAGTTCCTTTTTGACTTTTCCTCGTATTTTTTACGCACTGGAAACACGTTATTTGATACATTTTCCTTCTTGTTAACACAACACACACACGCGCGCACTACGCACGTGCCACCTGCTCGACATGACCCAACGCTACGATCGACCGCTTTTACTAACCAGCAGGATGTTTCCACAGAGGCTGCAGCTTCTCGGGCACAAACTTGCCGATGGCGTTCATTGAATTCTTATAAATTACCGACATGGCTGAGCGGTGTCGCGCGGTCGATGACTTTGATGGACGCGGATCGATGACTTCGCGGGTAATAAGAAGTCAAACGCGGAAAACGGCAAGTAGGAACGGTGAACGATATGGTCCGCACGCTGCGACCGAAGAACACTAAGTGTGTCGATTGGTTGTGACGCTCGCGCGGTTACTCCCCTCGACGTCGCCACTCACCCGCTGCTTCCCAGCCACGTCCTTGCGGGTCGTAGAAGTGAGTAGTGGCTCCCCGCCGAAGCTATGTCGGAAAGGGATAATGCGACTGTATATGTCGCGCTATACTTTAAATATTTTCAGATGGTACCAGACGATGAAATCTGCGATGCGGTGGGGGTGACTCGATGTCTGCAACGTGATGGCATTCCAAAACGAGGAATGAGACAGGGATTTCTGCAACACTGACCTTGCATGCAAACACAAATAGAATGATAAACAGTTTTTCAGATTATTTTAATTATATAAATTTCACAAATTTTTATTTAAAAAATTTATTAAATTTTAAAATATAAATATTTTGCATATCTTCAAAAATATATATAGTTACGTTAAAAAAATTTTCGAAGATATTTTTCTACTTATAAGCTCCAAGTTCTTTGAAAGAAACAGTAAAGTACTCCTTATTGGAACCAATTTTAATTTGTTTATTGATGTATGCTTTCTTAGATTTTTATAAGCAAGAAATAAATAAAATTATTAAAAAACAGTATGCTAGAAAAATAGAAAAATTTACATTGTTTTCATTCAAAGTTATAATTTGATGTATAAATTTCATGAAAAACACACAGATATCAGGTATTCAGTCATTAGACTACAAGTCAGTATGATACTTTCCCCAAAGGTTTATTCAGCTTTATTTATACAATATAGAAATTTAATGACAGAAGGAGATCTTCATTGTAATTAAATGGATTTGCGCAAATCCAAATTGTTTGTACAATAGACGAAAAGAATTCTTATAAATAAATCTTTCATAAAGGTTTGCCGATAATGAGATCTCCGCTCGCTAAGTACATTACATAAAGGCATCCTACACCCAATAGTATGAATACAGTTGTGTATGTAAATGTTAATAAGGAGCTGATTATTAATAATTGTCGACATAAACTGCATTTTCCATCGTTCTTTAACATTATATAACATATATTTTATTATTACTCTTTGTGTATATGTATTTATATATACAGATACATATACATAAATACATACATTTATCTTCATATATATTTTATATATATATATATATTTATAGAAAATTATACTAGCTACATTAATATATACATAAAAAGGCAAATGTGAAATACCTGAACATTTTCCATCTCTTTATTTTATAAAAATATGTGTTTTTATTACGTTTGTTCGTATGTATTTCAACGAATGCTATTCTTAATATTGTAGCATTACAGCATGTCGCAGTAAATGTATTCACATATTCTTGTATTCTTTATTATATTATTTGTAATATACATTATAATGTCATTTGTGGTTTATCCAAATGGAGTAAAATTTAAGATATCTATTCAAGCTGACGGAACACAAAATGGTTCAAAAATTAGTTACTGCAAATTTGCTGTATCCCACTAATGCTTCAATCATTTGCCTTTTATCACTTTACCCTACTTCGTCTTCAGTTAAATGCAGTTATAGTTTTGCATTATACATCCGTGACGTTACGCCTGGAACTGTAAGCGTTTCAAACTGACGTATGTATTCTCTAAGTTCATAACATAACAAAGTTTATTTAATAGTATGTATGCACATGATTAACATTCGTTTTGCTCATATCGATATGCGCACAAATACGCGATGTATTCAATGCTGCAATACTTTGTTTTCACGGCAAGACGAGTGTGTCACAATTTTGGCAATTAAGTATATTACTAACAATAACTGCAATCGATTGAAATCACTGGATAGATACGTTTCAACGCAATCGTCATGCTCCTACATCTATGAGTTATATATAATCCAATCCATATATATCATATTCATAGATAAAACAATCACATCGAAACGCGATAAAATCTTTCTGGTGAATATAAAAAAATGAGCTTTTTATATATAATGTATCACTGCACGTGTGTCAAAGTTTTTTTTTTACACGTTTACGTATATGCACTTTAAGTAGTTAACAAGCATATTTTACGCGTAAAGCAGGAAGAATAGTAATTGGAATAAGAGATTAAATTTAGAGTTGCTTTAATTATGGTGACACAACAGTTCTCGTGCACGATTCCACGATATAATAATCATCTTATCATGTTTTCTATTTATATCTATATCAGTTATATCAATAGTTATAACCTTTTTTTAATATTACATATACATCATGTTTAGGTCATTGCAGAAAAGCACGCAGACTACAACTCATTCCATTATTTTTTTCACAAGTAATATTGTATATCGCTGTAAGGCCAGTGAAACTCTTGAAACATGTTTTATGTTTCTCTATTGGTGTAGCTCAAGTAAAATACAAGAATTCATGAAGCTTTCAATTTTAGTTTCTAATTTTATTGTTTTTCTCGTTGATAATAATCAACCGGGAAGATATATTGCAAAAATAACACCCTACCCAACGCTGTAATACAAAAATCTTTGATTATGAAAATAAAAGAAAAATGCACAAAGTAGTGAAAGGAGACCACAACTTAAGTATAAAAAAAAAAAAAACGAAATAGAAAATGG